GAAAACCAACAACAAGGGAAATGTATAATAATGATCCCCCCTTCCCCCCCCCAAATCCCGAAATCCCCAAAATTTGAAATGACCCCGGATTCGTGCTCATCTCCCAATGCGCAGAACAACCCCCTAGACCGAAAAAAAAAAAAAAAAAAATTAGGCTATTTTTTTCACACGACCGGGTGACCCGATCGTCGGATCTGCCCGGGCACGACGCCCGGGTGACCGGTCGGTCCGGACCGGCCGGTCGTCAGAATCTTCCTAGGTATTAACGCCACAACGAAAACCAGCCTCCCCCGCCGGCCTTGCCACAAATGGAAAGAGGTACCGGCTATACTGTTTCCCCTGTACGGGAAGCATTATCATTTGAACGACACTGAAGACGGTACACATGGTGACATAGTACGGCCAGATGCATCAGAAGAGGCTGGCGGTCCGTGAAGGCATTGCCCAACTTAGCGTCTTGCTCTATGGAAGGGGGACACCCGTGAATAGTGGATGCATTTGATGTACTGTCATGATGTCGATGTCAGACTCATGTTTTTATTTTTCGTTCTGCTCGTTTTCTTTGCATTTGTGTAAATAAAAAAAACGATTCTTTATATGTTTTTAAATAAGAAATGGCCGCCACACACCGTTTTACGCTATGCTAGTCGGTCCTGGCTCCTGGGTCCACTTGCCCGGCCGGGCCAAAAAGAAATAAAAAATTTAAAAATAAATTTAATAAAATTAGTCTTAAATTAATTTTTTGTTAAATAATTTCAATGTGACCCTGAGGCAAAAGTTGTTCTTTTTTTTTCCCCCCTCACCTGTGGCCTTTTTTTCTTCTTTTTTTTTCCCGCGCCTGCTTATGCCACGACCGAGTTGTCTAGGCCACACTCGTGGTTGGGCCATGGCCGAGATGTCTTGGCCGCGCCCATGGACTGGGCCACGACCGAGATGTCTACGCCACGACCGAGATGCCTAGGCCACACCCCTGCAGTAACCCTATTCATAAGTAGTCTGGGGCCCAGAACTCAGCCCCAGGCAACGCAGACCAAAGTTGCTCTGCGCTGGGCTGTGTGACCAGGACACGCCCAGGCCTGAGTCTGTTGCGTTTGGCTGCGTGACCAAACGCTGCACTCAGGAAAGTCAAGAGTGAAAGTCAACTGTAGAGTCAAAGGTACCGTGCCCAGGCCCTTGGTTGGATACACTCACTTGTTGTGCGCAGGTACCCAAACAAGCATCCACGCCGAAGGGAATTCAGTTTCAGGCCAATCCGGGCCTTCTTTTGCATCAAGATCTGGACGGCTAAAGGTTGCAGCATCCGGGGTCCAGCCCCCGAGTCAACGCTACTTAAGCGTTGACCTCCCTGGCTTTGACATTCATTCATTCTGTCTTGCGTTGATGCTGACTTCACGTGTTGACTTCAACGCTGGCTCGACGCTGCGACGATGGCATTTGTGATTCGGCGAGGCACTGCTGGTCCGGCATGGTGGCTGGCTTGGACCTGTCTTCTTGGCATGCTGACGTGGCAGCTGCCATGCGCTGTCGCTGATGTGGCCACTGCCACATGTATTATTGGACGACGTGGTTGCTGCCATTGTTCTACTGTGGCTGACGAGGCGAGGCTACGGGACTTGTATTGTTGTTCTGATTATCGTCATTCGGGAGGAGATCGGGACTGTGGAGAGATCGTGATACGTACCTGTTGTCTTCATGTCGACATTGCTCCAGTGCTGATGAGGGACTAATTAGACGTGTCACGTGGCACACTGAGATTACCTTAGATACTCGTTCAGACTATTTGTGATTGAGGTGGTGATCGAGGAGGGAGCCCGAAGCAGGAGTGGGCCTTGTAATCATTTCCTCTCCTTTGTCTAATCTCCCTCCTCTCTCTTCGTCTGTGTATGATTATCTCATCTCATTCTGTTTGGATACCATTTTGACTATTGGTAATCATTAGCTGGTTGACATTCATTTGGGCTTGCATTGTTGACGACTGTCTTCACGATCTGGGTTCATTGCAATTTGGTATCGGAGCAGTTCTCCTGACAACGATGATTGTACACGTGTGCACGGGCCAGGTGGCACGTAGGTAAGTGTGGTGCACACGTGTGTTGAATAGGTGATGACGTGTCAAGAGATACGTCGGGGGTGCTGACGTGGCACAAACTTCACTGGCGAGAAGACACCGTTCGTGGTGTTTACTGGTGAGAGGAGATTCCCACGAGGCTGCTGACTTGACAGTAGGGACCGCAACCAAGAGATACCGCACACCAGCCTGGATTGCGATAGTTACGTGTCACCGCGATCCCCTGCTGACGTGGCATATGTTATGCCGCGTCCGAAGACCTTGTTCATTGATTGCTGAGGTGGCACTTTTATGGTACTGACGGGCGACAGGGTCTACTGCAGACGCTGATGTGGCCTTGGAACACATGATTGATTGCTGACGTGGCAGGAAGTAAGTCATCACACCTGTCTTCGTAAGGTGGTGACTACCTGCTGACGTGGCATCGGTCTCTTGGCTTACGTGGCATTGTCTAACTGGCTGGAACGACGACGGTATCGCGACGTGACGCGTGGAAGTGGCACGTGGGAAGGATCAGATTACACATTTGCTGACCTGGCATCCCGCTATTGGTCGACTGGACATTGTGGTACAGTGTTGACGTGGCAGTACATGCTAAGTTGGCACTCCAGGGATGACACGTGGCAAGCAGGATTACTGCCAAGTAAGAGAAGCATTCTGAAGACGACGGCAGTAGGGCTGAGTGAATCAACTATACAGCTGTAGTGCCAGCTGTCGGGGAGAGTGCATCATTGCACTGACACCAGGAAGACACAGCGGATTGAAAAAGGTTGCTGATAAATTGTTTGTTGTTGTTGTTGGCATACTTACCTTGTCGGTGCTGTGTTGTGGTGCTTGCGTACTTGCTTGTGTGTTGTGTCTGATCACACGGGCCTCACGTGGTACCTGTACACTCATAGGACGTCATCACACAGACGAAACAACAACAATTAGTATAAGTAGAGATTTGTTCCTTTTTATTATTATTATTATTATTTTTTGTTCCATTATTGCAAATATTGTCTCAGACCTGATTTCCAAGATGTTTGGTGTGTGGAAATTACTCTTGCTTCTTTTTCCAATGACATTTTGAACGGGTGAAGGGTCTTCCGAACCCAAGACTAGGAGACAGGCGGAAACAAAGAAACAAGAGTTACCGGCTCTATGGAACCAACTGTTGAATGATTTGCATCTGTCCGGACCGGACGTTGAACGACATGTTCGTAATCTGTTTGATTTAAAGACGGTAGAGGACCGTCTGAAGCAAGCAATTACGGTCACGGAAGTTGTAGTTGCCAGTACCGAAGTGTATAAAATGATGGCTCAATGTCGGAAGGCGGTGGACTAGTTTGCTATCAAGCAGCTGGAAGAAGTCATGGAATCATCTAGGAAAGGGGAAATCAGACCACAAGTGACCGAGGCTACGCTTGACGCAAACATCCAGCAATTAAGAGAGGTGCTGGCTGCGGAAGAAAGAAAGAAAGAAGAACTAGCCCGGAAACATGAACAGGAACTAATACGGGAATAGAAAGTGAAGGAAATCAGACAAGTGATAAGACCAGAAGGGAAGGAACAAACTGACATGACACAGACATTGTATCACATCATGACTTACCTCACCTTCTTGGAAGAGAAGATTGACAGACAGCAAAGCCAGTTAGACGAAATTGCTGTAGGATTTCGAACTGTCACAAACATTGTGAAAGAGAAACATCCGATAGAAGGAAAAGAAGAGGTTAAGGAAGACAAGAAAGAAGTCAAAAAGTTAATGAGTGATGCGATGAAGTCTGTTGTTCCTCGAGATCAGAAGACGACTAATGGAGGAGGGAAGCCGTCTAATGGGGGAGGACTGAGTCCGCCGTCTTTTTCACCGAACACTCCTCCTTCCACACCTCCTTCCTCTCCACCTCCAAAGCCTCCAACTTCTCCGCAAGGTAAGGTAAGTACGGAATCGGAGAAGCCGAAAAGAAAAGAAAAAGTGAAGATGAAATTGCCTTTTACGTTTTGTAACAAAAAAAAATGAGAATTTGTTGCTCTGGATAGCCGAAATTCAGACATATTGTAGTACGACCCCTATTGAACCCGAATCCCAAGTTGCTTTCTCTACCTCTTGTCTCGGGGGGGAAGCGAAGGAATGGGTTTTGGTCGAGGCTAACGCAGCGGGGTTCTTTGATATCGGGGAGTGGGCTAAGACATGGACGCTGAAGCAGTTCCTTGGCAAGATCAAGGAACGCTTCCTGGATAAGACAACGGCCGACAAGGCCTTCAACAAGCTCACTACCATTGGTCAAAAGCATTGGACCTCGGTAGAAGCTTTGTCTCAGAAAGTCGACCGGTTGCTGCAGGTTCCTGGATTGAACTTGCAAGACAACCAAGCCTGAGCCCATTCGTGGACAACTCATGGCAGAATCTAGATCCGGAAAGTACAATTATAGGCAGTTTCGCGATTTGAGTCTCCAGCGACAACAAATGACTTCACAAGTAAAGAACATGTATGCCTCTGTAGTAAAGTATGGCGGTGGAGGAGACCCAGGTGTAGGCAAACAGGTACTCTGGTGCCAAAAGCGCCAGGACCACACCCTCGTCGTCTTTGATGACGATACTGTGGAGAAGTGGCCATTGGAGGTCGAGGGTGTGGCGAGCAGCAGTGATTCCGGGAAGGGGGAAGTCACTGCTGTCGTGGTCAACAAGGGAGGATCACGACCATCAGTTAAGAAGAAGAAGCCACGCTTGTTCCTAGAGCATCCCGGGATTGCGGTCGGGAGGCCATGGAAAAAGATGGGCCTATCACAGGAAACGTGGCAGGAAAGAATGGATAATGCACAATGCTTGAAGCGTGGTACCCCAGGGCATGTGATTGCATGGTGCCCACTTATCCGAAACCCAAAAGCGAGCCGCCAGTAGGAGTAGCATCTGCTCCTACTGAGTCTAAGGGTTTGGATCAAGAAGAAGGTAAGGCGCCTACTAACCCTTCCAACCCCTTAACTCGCATAGCAGAGGATGGTTCTTCTTCGGCCCATCGTCCAGAATACCTTGAACCTGTCTTATGCACTGTTTCTCTGGACGACTCTCTTGACGAGCTTGGTAACGAGTTGTTGGCATTACGAAGCTTGAGGGCTAAGAAATCAAAGTCTAAGGGTGACCTACTACTCGCGGACGTAGAGATTGCACATACCCGCGCAGGTGCACTATTGGACTCAGGATCAACGCGATCCTACATATCCGAGAAAGCAATCCGCAAGTTGCATCTCGGAATGAAGGTAAAGAATCTGTTTCGACCAATCACGTCTATCCTAGCTGACAAAAGTACGATCACTGTCTCGCAACATGTTGATCGTGTGAAGTGTCGATTTCGTAGCAAGGAAGGAAAGGAGATAGTTCACGAGCTTTTCTTTCTTGTGGAGAAGAAATTACCTTTTGATTTGATTCTGGGAATGAATTGGCACGAGGAACCCAAACCAGATATCAATTTCAAAGAGAAGATTGTGCACTTGCGAGATGCACACTCTGAATTGAAACCTATCAAACTGTACCATAAGTCTGGCTCTGACTCTAGTCTGTCTTTCTATTGTATGAGTTATCCAACATTCCGATCGATGGTTTCAAATAAAAAGTTGGAACAGGAAGTAATGATGGTTTTAGTAAAGAAAGCAGGTGAGTCTTCTGCTTCCTATCCTCTTTTGACTGAAAAACTTCTAAGCGAGTATAAAGATTTATTCACTGAACCAACAGGAATAATTGAACGTGTTATCAAGCACACAATTGAAATTATTCCTGACAGTAAGATTCCCAAGGGCCCTATATATCGAATGTCTCCTGGGGAACTTGAGGAATTACGAAAACAACTGCAATACTTAATAGAAAAAGGATGGATTCGCCCTAGCTCCTCTCCTTATGGTGCCCCTGTTTTGTTTGAGCCCGAAAAGGAAGGTGAGTTGCGTCTTTGTATTGACTACAGAGGGTTGAATGTTGTCACTGTTAAGAATGCCGAACCTCTACCTCGAATTGACGACTTATTAGACCAGTTGCAGGGCTATAAGTATTTTAGTAAGATTGATCTGAAGTCAGGGTACCATCAGATCGAGGTGGAACCCACGGATCAACATAAGACCGCATTCCGAACGAGGTATGGCCATTACGAGTTTGTGGTAATGCCCTTTGGACTGACTAATGCCCCAACGATCTTCCAAAGGTCTATGAATGAACTCTTTCGTCAATGGTTAGACAAGTTCGTAATTGTTTATCTCAATGATATTCTAGTGTATAGTAAGACACTAGAAGATCATGAGAAGCACCTTCGTCTGGTGCTAGAGAAGTTGCGAGAGGGCAACTTCAAGATTAATTCCAAGAAGTCTGAGTTTGCTAAGTCCGAAGTGTTATACTTAGGACACATAGTGAACAAAGAAGGTCTAAGGCAGGAAGAGAAAAATATTTCAGCAATTAGAGATTGGCCACAACCTAAGTCTATAATTGAATTACGATATTTTATTGGTTTAGCTAGTTACTATTGGAAGTTTGTCAGGAACTTGTCAATGATTACTGCACCAATGCGAAGATTGTTAAAGAAAGGAACTATTTGGTTGTGGGATAAAGACTGTGAGTCTTCCTTTCAAAAATTGAAATATGCACTAACTCACTATCCTGTTCTAAAGATTGTTGACCCGTCCTTGCCTTTCATTGTTACCACTGACGCAAGTCAGTATGGAATTGGCGCTGTTCTCCAATAGGATGATGGCAAGGGCTATAGGCCCATAAAGTTTATGTCTACACGATTGCCGTCAGAGACGGTTGCCAACTCCACCTATGAACGGGAACTCTATGCCTTAGTCTGTGCGTTGGACACGTGGAGACACTATCTGCTAGGGAGACACTTTACTATGTATTCAGACCACTCGACACTACAATGGATAAAGACATAGTCTAGAATCTCTGACAAGTTGGTAAGATGGTCTGCCTTCTTTGGCACCTTTGACTTTGAGCTCAAAACTTTTAAAAGTAAGTATAATGTGGTTGCAGATGCTTTATCTCGATGCAATGACTTCTTTGGCACAATTGTCTCATACTTGGATGTTGGGAATGATTTAAAAGAACAAATTCGTCAAGGATATGCTACTGATCCAATTTGGAAGCCAATCATGGATGTCCTTGCACGAGATCCTTCCCAATTACCCAACTATAGAATAATCGATGGTTTGTTTTTCTTGATAGACCAAACAGAACAAAGATTGTGTATTCCTCGCCAAGAAATAATTAAGAGTATGTTGATTGGGGAATGTCACGACTTTGAAGGGCACTTTGGATTCAAGAAAACTTACGCAGAGGTTAGAGAACGCTTCAAATGAAAGGGATTAAAAGAAGACATACTAACTTATGTACGTACCTGTCTGGTGTGTCAGAGAAACAAGCCGACGCATGAGAATCCTCTTGGACTTCTCAGGCCATTACCTATACCAAGCGAACCAGGTGAGTCCATCTCAATTGATTTTATGAGTCTGGTTAAAAGTCGCAATGGTAATAGTCAAGTGATGGTGATTGTAGACCGTTTCTCTAAATATGTCATGTTTATTCCCTTACCTGCTGAAGCAAGGACTGAACTTGTGATCCTGAAATTTCAGATGAAATGGGTAACTGAGTATGGTTTTCCTCTATCCATTATATCTGATCGAGATACCAGGTCCACAAGTATGCCATGGCAAAAGCTGATGAAGGCATACGACACACGTTTGACCATGTCGTCAGGGCGACACCCTAAAACGAATGGACAAAGTGAAAAAATGAACCGATTGTGCCAACAGCTCTTGCGCATGTCTGTACAACTTGATCAAACTGATTGGGACGAGAACTTACCCAAGATAGCCAGTTCATATAACAGCAGTGTTCACACCGCTACAGAACGTACACTAAATGCACTGCACAAGGGGTGAAAACCTAGGCGTCTCATTGACGTGTTAACACGGGACCAGTTCCTTAGGTTACCTCCAGGGACACGAGAGTATGCAGTTTTGTTTCAAGAAGACATAAAGAAGGTAAAAGATAATTTAAAGAAATCTCAGGACCAGATGATCGAACAAGCGAATAAACATCGTCGACCATCTACCTTTAAGGAAGGTGATTTCGTCTAGGGAAAGTCCAAAGAGTTTTCCTTCGAAGAAGATGTGTCTCAGAAACTTCTGCCTGTCTATTTTGGACCCTGGGAAGTTCTCAAAGTAATAGGAGATGAAGAGGGACTGTCTTATCGAATTGATATTCCCCCTATCTTTCACGCGTCCAAATTGTTACCGTATGTAGAAGGAAATGAGTTTCCACATAAACCTTCTATGATTCCACCAGACATGGATGGCGGATATGAGATGGACCGCATCATAGAGCATGGTTACTTCTCTACGGGAGGACGTGGACAACCTCAGAAGCAGTTCAAGGTACGTTTTAAGTCTCAGGCACCATTTGAGGACAGATGGTTTAGTAAAAGAGAACTACTTGAAACTGCTCCTGATATTGTTGCTGCTTATGAACGAGGGTTAAAGTCTTAAGAATTTATGCGGTGGAACTCGAAAATGGGCCGGTAGTTCAGAAGTAGTCAGGGGCCCAGAACTCAGCCCCAGGCAACGCAGACCAAAGTTGGTCTCCATTGGGTTGTGTGACCAGGACACGCCCAGGCCTGAGTCTGTCGCGTTTGGTTGTGTGACCAAACACTGCACTCAGGAAAGTCAAGAGTCAAAGTCAACTGTAGAGTCAAAGGTACCGCGCCCAGACCCTTGGTTGGATACACTCACTTGTTGTGCGCAGGTACCCAGACAAGCATCCACGCCGAAGGGAATTCAGTTTCAGGCCAATCCGGGCCTTCGCTTGCATCAAGATGTGGATGGCTAAAGGTTGCAGCATCCGGGGTCCAGCCCCCGAGTCAACACTACTTAATCGTTGACCTCCCTGGCTTTGACATTCATTCATTCTGTCTTGCGTTGATGCTGACTTCACGTGTTGACTTCAACGCTGGCTCGACGCTGCGACGCTGGCATTTGTGATTCGGCGAGGTGCTGCTGGTCCGGCATGGTGGCTGGCTTGCACCTGTCTTCTTGGCATGCTGACGTGGCAGCTGCCATGCGCTATCGCTGATGTGGCCGCTGCCACGTGTATTATTGGACGACGTGGCTGCTGCCATTGTTCTACTGTGGCTGATGAGGCGAGGCTACGAGACTTGTATTGCTGTTCTGATTATCGTCATTCGAGAGGAGATCGAGACTGTGGAAAGATCGTGATACGTACCTGTTGTCTTCATGTCGACATTGCTCCAGTGCTGATGAGGGACTAATTAAACGTGCCACACGACACACTGAGATTACTTTAGATACTCGTTCAGACTATTGGTGATTGAGGTGGTGATCGAGGAGGGAGCCCGAAGCAGGAGTGGGCCTTGTAATCATTTTCTCTCCTTTGTCTAATCTCCCTCCTCTCTCTTCGTCTGTGTATGATTATCCCATCTCATTCTGTATGGATACCATTTTGACTATTGGTAATCATCAGCTGGTTGACATTCATTTGGGCTTGCATTGTTGACGACTGTCTTCAGGATCTGGGTTCATTGCACCCCTGGGGAAACGAGCCAAAAACGGGAGGCCAGGCCACGGGAAAAAGAGTGGTACCACTACCGCCACCTCCCGTTTTTGCCACTTATTGAACCAGTAGGCCGTCGAACGCATGATTTCATGTTTTTCTTACAGTTTTCTAACTGGTTTTCGCCCCAGCTTGCAGTGGACTGTCATTTTTACGAATTCTGAACTGTGCAATGGTAACAGGCGCAGTTGTCTCAAAAACAAAGTACGCGTCTCTACTGCGTTGACTATCCACAGTGCCATCATCCGCCACATCCTCTCCTAGCATGTTCCATAGGTGGTGTTGGCCATCCACCTACTGCAACCACAGTCGGAATTCCTTCTTCTTTGCCTGATGAGCGACAGACACAGCAACCTGAGGAGGAAAATAGATTACCATTGGAATCATCTACAACGCTGTTCTTATAGGCTTTCTCCACGAGGGCGAGTTGTTGCAGACCAAATCCTGCAACAGCTAAACACCCTTGCTTTGGACCAATCTCCACCATCATCGTCTACCCATAGAGAAGGAATAAACACAGACCAAAGCCAGGAAACCTTCTCCTTGCCACTTGTGATGACCCACCGGAGATTCAACTAGCATGGGGTTTGCATGCCTTATGCTGTGAAGATTATGAAGTAGCCCGAACGAGCTTTTGTCTTCACACGTATGATGACAGCCTACACTGCACTCCTGTACGGTGCCCTGATATGTCAAGTCCAATTTGTAGACGGGCTGGAACGGCAATGCCTCTACAATTGCGGTCGATGTGCCTCTGTGTTCCTAGCATGTAGGAGCCACGTAGTCTGTGACATCTGTCTATACTGTGTCGTTCGATGCAGTAACTGCAACTGCGAGGTGCTTCCACAGGCCACACCCGAACCGGTCCTGCCCGGTCTGTAGAGGTGGCCAGTTACCATAGGCAACGATTGCTTCTCAAATCTTATTCCAAGGAATATGAGTGTGAGCGATATACATAAAACCAAGTTGCGAAATCACACAGTTGAACAAGTAGTCGAGTCCCAAGCAGAGAGTACAAATGCACCGAGGAAACCATCCATATAGAGCAATACAATGAAGTAATGAACCAATGTCCAAGCCCGTAGGCCACACCAACACAGTATCCAAAGTCGCTCTCTCCTGTCTGGCGCTCGGCGCCCAGCCTACTCTACCTGACTAGCCTACCTACAACTGGTTCACGCAACACGATCACTTCAACTCTCAAAGACCAATGTACATGATTGCCAACCCCATCGCCGACCTCTCTTCATGTACCAGGTACGTATCTCGTCACCCTCAATCATACCTTGATTACCCCACACAGTGCCTCCTTCCCTGAAGACCACCCGATCATCCGCTGTACCCCCTGGCACCCAGCAGCCCGGCTATGGCCGCCTGCGCCCCGCTGCCCTGCAGCGCCCCTCTCACCACCTCGCACTCCGTCAGCGCCCCTGGCATTAGCGCAACATCAAGCAGAAGCGCAGCAGCACTTCCACATTGCCAGCGTTGGCCAGTGTGTCTGGCCTGGGCTGCCTTACTTCCTTTATGGAAGTGGCAGCGTGTTGGATGCTGCGTCTGGCCTGACTGGAAGCTTCGAGTAGCTTCCGGTTGGGCCTCAGACCCTGTGCCCAGGCCCGAGACTTACAATTGAGGGTCTGGGCCCTTTTCAGTTGGGCACGGCCTGGCTGTTTGCTGTATCTGCGCAGGGGCCTCAGATAGATGCGTCGGCAGTACTGCTTTTCCCAATGCCAACGGCCTGCTTCTCAATGTATCGGCCCTGCTTTGTGTGTATATGCCCAGGCACAACTTTCGAGGGCTGGGCCAACTGTACGACGCAGCTTAGTGAGGCTCGCGCGTTCACTCAACCAACTGACGCGTTGTAAGAGCCTGAATACCCACACATGGAAATGTCGAATTTTGGCCTGTGACGAATATTCAGGCCCGCCTTCACTTAGGGCGGGCACTTGGCTTGCTGGGGCCTTAGCCCAGAACATGCAATGTCTGATAGGGCCCCTTAAGGGCTCATTCCTCACATTCCATCCCCCTTAGCTTCGAAAGTCCGTTGAGATGCTTCATGCTGGAGCCTTCCCCTTTAGTCTCTTCTCATAATCTGCCACGATCTGAGGAGCTGTCTTAATAAGTTCCTCCCTTGAAATCCATTGATCTTTCTTCGGATCCGTATGATTCCTGAAATGAACTTTGTACTCCCTTGCAGGTTTTGGAGGTCTTCCCCTGCTAGCTGGCTTGGGAACAGGCGTATCTCTGTGATCCAAAATGTCGTCGACGTCCACATGGTCGTCCATGGTTGGGGGCAGCATAGATCTTCGTGATGGGAATTGTGCTGTCTCAGCGAAAGGTGCTAGCTTTGAGGCGTGAAAAACAGGGTAAGTGCGTAGGTGACCAGGGATGCGAATGACGTACGAGGGACCATCCAGATCACTCCCTAGACTTCTTAGGGACCGAAGTACTGAGGCATTAGCTTCCTAGAGATTCCGAACTCCTGTCCCAACTCACTAGCCTTGACCCAGACTCGTTTCCCTACCTGAAATGTGGATTGTCGACGACGTTTGTTCTCAGAGGCAATCATAGCTTCCTGAGATTTCTTGATGTTTTCAACAGTCTGCTGCAACAACTTCTCATACTGGATCCCAAATTCAATTGTTCCAGGAGTTGCAGCAGTTCGCTTTTCAGGCAGGAGGAAGTCTAGAGCAGATCTAGGCTTCCATCCCAGATGTCGTTGATTAGGACTGACATCGATGGTGCTGTGTACAACGTTGTTGTATAGACTAGCGATGAGAGGTAACTTCTAATCCCAGTCATCCTGGCTGGGCTTAATGTAATGCCTCAGCAGATGCTGCACCACACGGTTCATCTGTTCAGCCTGCCCATTTGCTTCGGGATGATTCCCAGAAGTCATCTGAAGCTGGCTGCCCATCTGTTCAGCGACCTTCTTCCACATCTCGCTTGTGAATCTCACATCTCTGTCACTAACGATCGTCTTTGGAAGTCCAAAGTCACGCACCCAGTTGTCCATGAACAACTTGATGATGTGCTCAGTCCTGGCTGTCTCGGGCATGGCGATTAGTCTAGCGTACTTAGTGAACCTATCCACTATGACGAAGATGTGCTTCTTGCCATTCTTGCTGGTCACAAGAGTATCCATGAAGTCCATGGAGATACTCTGCCCTAGGCCAGCAGGAATGGGTAGAGGCTTGAGTTTGTGACTTGTCCCGCTGACAGACCTGACAAGTCTCCACATACTTCTTCACATCGTCAAGCACGTTAGGCCACCAGAATCGCTTCACTAAATTAGCACTAGTTTTCTTGTAGCCAAAATGTCCCGTTGCGTCGTGACACTCTCCTAAAAATAAATTGCGCAAAATTTCCCTAGATGGAACAACTAATCTTTTGAACCCTGCCTTCTCAAGAAAGAGTAACCCATCCACCATCACAAACTCGTCAGTGGTGGCCTTATCTTTGGCTTGAAGTTTGTTGATGATGTCCATCGTGATGAGGTCTTCCTTGTAGGCTTCCCCCAACGATTGAGTCACATCCTCAAATAAACCAAACTCATAAATCAGCGCACCTAGGTAGTCTGCCCTCCTAGACAACGCATTTGCAACCTTGTTGTACTCTTCTTTCACATAGTCTAGTTTGAAGTCATATTGATCTATGACTTCAATCCAGCGTTTGAGTGCATCAGAGAGAACTGGTTGAGTCTTGATCCACTTGAGGGTCTGATGGTCAGTTCTCAAGTAAAAGAACCTCCCTAACAGATGCCTCCAGTGAACAAGTGCCTTGTAAAGAGCGTAGAGTTCCCTCTCATAGGTGGACTTTGCCAACTTCTTTGATGGCATCTTTTTGCTCATGTACTCAACCGGTCTCAATTTTTTCCCTTCTTGCTGAGCCAGCACTGCGCCAATCCCATATTGGCTTGCGTCAGTGGTTGCAACAAATGACCTTTGCGGGTCGGGTACCATAAGAACCTCATGGTGCGTGAGGGCATGCTTCAAACGTTTGAAAGCTGCCTCACACTCATCGGTCCAGTCCCATGGTGTGTCAAGTCGAGTTAGATCAGTCAAGGGAGATGCGATAGTACTATAGTTCTTTACGAAATTGCGGTAATAACCACACATTCCCAAGAATGATCTGACCTCAGTCATAGACTTGGGTCGTGGTCAGTCACGTATGCTAGCCACCTTTGCATCTTCGAGCCTAATCCCATCCGCGGATACTTCGTGATCCAAGTACAAGATTCGAGTGCGACCAAACTCGCATTTCTCTATATTTATCTTATACTTGTGCTGCCGAAGGAGTGAAAGTATTTTGTCTACATGCGAAGCATGCTCCTCGACAGATCTACTAAAAATAAGTACGTCGTCGAGGTACACGACAACAAACTTATCCCAGTAGTCATGGAAGATCCTATTCATGGCGTGCTGGAATGTACCCGGCGCATTGCAAAGGCCGAAGAGCATCACCACAAACTCGTACAGACCATACCTGGTCTGAAATGCGGTTTTGTGTTGGTCCTCTGGTCTTATAGCAATCTGATCGTAGCCAAATTTTAAGTCTATCTTTGTATAGTACTTACATCCCTGCACCTTATCCAATAGGTCGTCGATGCGTGGTAGAGGCTCTGTGTTCTTAACGGTGATGGCATTGAGGCCTCTATAATCAATGCACATCCTTAGTGTTCCCCCTTTCTTTGGAACAAAAAGAACTGGCGAGCCAAAGGGGGAAGTGCTAGGCCGTATCCAACCCTTCTCTGTGAGCTCTTTCAGTTGCCGACGAAGCTCGTCCAACTCGGCCGGAACCATCCTATAGATTCTCCCTTTAGGTGTCTTGCTACCTGGGATGATCTCTATGACATGGACAACCTCCCTGTTTACGACTCATAAGGGCTCCTCAAACAGATTAGGGTACTTAGCAACGATGGTCTCTATCTCTGGGGGTGTTTTAACGGCCTCCGCTTTTGCAGAGATATAGACTAAGTACATTCCTTCCTCTTGGTTCTGTTTATAATAATTATAAAAGGCAGATGCGCATAAGCACCCATAGGAGTCTATTAACCTACTGGCTTTGTACTTGGTCAGTCTCACAGTTCTCCCACTAGGCAACTCGTGCTTCAACACCTTCTTGTCTCAGTCAAACTGGGGCTTGGCAATCTCGAGGTAGTACATGCCCAACAACATGTCAAAGGGCAACTCATCGCTCACCAGGAATGATATCTTATGATTAATCTCTCCTCCTGGGTAGGAGAAGGTGCAGACTACATCTTTAACGTAGTCCTCCACCATCATGCGCTCTTTGTTGGCCAAAGTAGATGCTACAAGTCTACTAAGGCGCTTCACCCGGTCCTTTAGGCACAGTCTGTCAACGCAGTCGCGACTTATGAAGTTTCGCGTGGAGCCAATATCTACAAAGGCGCCGCACTTGCGACCACCCACATCAACTTCCACAAAGAAATGCTCCCCTCTAGGACTTCTACTCAGTGCCACCCAGGACTCACGAGGGTCCCTTGCCGACCACTCACCTTGAAGGTCCTCTAAGGCTTCAGACACATCCAACGTACAGAGTATGGTTGGGTCCGGATGCGTCTGCGGGGTGACTAAGGAGTCAATAGCTTTGGCCATCTCTTGAAACGGGGAGGGTACATCACCCGCTTGAACGAGAGTAGAAGCAGCTACAACTTTTATTGGCCCTAAGTGTTTCCCGAGCTGGAGCTCGTAGAGGCCCCAGATTGAGAAGAAGAAAACCCACCCTTAGGAGGAATCTTCTGCGAGACCTTTGGGTTCTTGCACTTAAACTGTGTATGGCCATACTCGCCGCTGTTTATGCAAGCTCCCCGCTGCCAACGGTCCCGCCACACATCTTGATCCAAGCCTGCCCTAACTCAAGCAGCAATTTTGTTTGGGTTGGCGGCTTGCCCCTGGCCCCTTTGTTGACCGCACTTTCCGCGGCCCTCTGCCTTAGTCTTAACTACTGCGGCGAGGTTGCTACCCTCAACACTCTCCTCGCCGTCAAACTCTGAACCCTCCACAAGCTCAGAAACATCATCGATCTCGGTTTGATTCCCGTCGGAATCAACCATCATCAACCGATTACCCTTCTTTTTCCACTCTTGTGGAGTCTTCTTCTTTCTTCCATCTGTAGAAGGGGTTTGAGCTCCACCCAGCGTAGCCTCTAAGTCTAGGGCCTTCTTGCTGAATGACTCAAACGTGTGATACTCTCGGCGAGCCTCGCTGGCTAATAAGTTCTTGATGTCTGTGGGAAGACATCTCAAGAACGTGGTCAATAAGACCTGTGGATTGTATTCCACCCCTGAAACGACAATCAGGCGCTCTACGGCTGTGGTGAGTTCTTGCACAGACTTGTACTTTCTAGAGTCAAGCTTTAAGATCCCATCAGTGGCAATTTGTGCCTGTTGAGGGTTGTGCCAACGAGCCTCCACTAAGTTCATAAAGCTCTCTAGGGTGTGGGTCTGCGCCCAATCACCCATGTTCCTGCTGAACCCCTTGGAAGCTACCAATCCATTTAGCCAACGAGTTGCTGAACCCTCTAAGTAAGATGCAGCAGTAATCACCTCCTCCTCTACCAATGTCCTCTTTGCCCTCACCCACACTGGCACCGTTCTCAACCACGTGTCGAGAGCCTCATCCTTCTTGTCTCTTGAGAAGGTTGAAGGTGGGTTCAGTGGGGTCTTGGGATACCAAGGATATTGCTGTCCCGCTTGCGAGACAGGTGGCGACTGTGGTGTAGCAACAGCCGCTGGAACAGAAGATGAAGCAGCAACAGTCTGAGATAGAGCTACTGCTGATGTACCACTTGGTGGTGGTCCAGACTGAGCGGCATAGGGGTCTGTCATCGCTGAGAATGGTAGCGATAGTAAAGCTGCTGGCCGGATCCCTGACTTATGTACCGCTTGCAGGATCTGGTCTAGGGTATCCTGCATGGCATCCATCTTACTGTCTATGTACGCATGCATGGATAGGACACTTGCCTTAAGGATCTTTACTGTAGCGTTAAGCACAGAATCCTCTAATGTCTCTAGCGCAGCCAAATCTGCCTCTCTGCCCTCTAGTCTGACACTTCTCTCTTTGATCTCTTTCTCTCTTTTAGTAGCCGGTCTAAGTTCCTCCTCTAGCCTTAAGTGGATCCTCTCGACTTGCTGGAGCTCCATCTGCTCCCGAGTGCGTGGAGGCGGCGAGCTGAACTGCGAGCCCGCCATCTGACTTGTGTCAGCCCCTGACGTACTGGAGATGGACTATGAACTGGTCGGCATGCCTAGCCCTTGACCAGTTGAGTTTGCAGCAGTTGCCGCAAAAGTAGCCAATGCTACCGCTTTAGCTGCTGCTGCTTCCCTAGCAGCCTCAAGATTACGGGCCCTAGCTTCAACCCTCAATCTTCTCTCTTCTCCCGGTTGTAGGGCCTGAAACACTCTAGGAATTCTAAGGGATGATAGCCTTGTTATCCTCCTATCATCATCTGCACCTTCACCACCCTCTGATCCACTCATAGGTTAGGCAGACGCTGTCTGCACTAATGTCCTCGCTGGAACCTACCGCAACATGCGTCTGACCGGATCTAAGAGTAAATAAATAAATGTCCGGCGAGTTATCTAGTCTACTAGTCAAGTGTCATCAACAACATCTACACAAATTGTACACATTGTCTAACTCTATTCTGATTAGTCTGCACAGAAGATTCGAGGAGAACTGACTATGGTAGATTACAATCCTACTCTAGTTTGTCTGTTAGGTGTCAGCAGTCCGTCAACCAACTAATCAAAATAAAACTTAGACTAATGTGAGCAGATGTATGCACAATGGATATGTCAGTGATGTACAGTTGAGTTCACAATCGGAATCCCCTTCCCCTGTATCCAACGTACCTGTGAGCATCATCAAGCTGCGGTGTCTAAGGTGTGCAACCACGACCCACCCCTGTGCCCAAGAAGTATGCTTATGACCAGCCTGCCCCGTTGTTTACCCTCACGTGCAACGAGCCTTATGTCTGACTGATCTGGCTGATCAAGAGGCAATTTAAGGACAGCCCCCAGAGTCCTCAGGAATTCTTTAACGTCGCAATCAGGACGACGATCACAACCAGTGGACAGTTCAGACCCCAACTAGAAATGTTTATAGATGGCCTGGGAGCGTCTCAATAGGACTGGTCAGTCCGCACACCCCTTCTATCAGCGCAGCAAAGAGCCTCAATGGACAAAGCAGCATGGCCTGCGTGTACTACTACCCATGGGTTGGCATGGTGACCGTGACCTGTGCTTCGACCGGGGCCCTTCAGAGGCACCGCCCTCTCGTGCCAGATGCGCCACCGGGAAGAATGTCGTCTCTCAAGATAGAGCGCACACGACTCCTCACCAAACAGAGGACACTCAAGTTGGACTCACTTCCTCACGGTAAGAAGAGATTGAGAGGGTAGATAAGGAATGGGAACAACGTACCTGGAGATAGCTGCCCCCAACCACAAATTTCTCACCAATTGGGCTGACGTGCATTTCGATGACCGGTCAATAGCCTCGGTACCACCCACAACGTAATGCAGTGCCACCTCAGACAAAATGCCATGTCAGCATACTCTCATCATCATGCATACACCTGCTGTCACCACAGCTCCCATGCTGTCGCCACAGCCTTCCAGCGGTCGGCCTCTCTACCTAGGCCCCGCTAATCAACCACTGACAAAGTATCCTCACTGCACATGAAGCATCGTCAGCGCACCAAGTCACAATGTCGCTGGTGCCAACCAGCTCCGATACCAAATTCCAAGGAATATGAGTGTGAGCGATATACATAAAACCAAGTTGCGAAATCACACAGCTGAACAAGTAGTCGAGTCCCAAGCAGAGAGTACAAATGCACCAAGGAAACCATCCATATAGAGCAATACAATGAAGTAATGAGCCAATGTCCAAGCCCGTTGGCCACACCAACACAGTATCCAAAGTCGCTCTCTCCTGTCTGGCGCTCGGTGCCCAGCCTACTCTACCTGACTAGCCTACCTACAGCTGGTTCACGCAACAGGATCACTTCGACTCTCAAAGACCAATGTACATGATTGCCAACCCCATCGCGGCTCTCTTCATGTACCAGGTACGTATCTCGTCACCCTCAATCAGACCTTGATTACCCCACACAGCGCCTCCTTCCCTGAAGACCACCTGATCATCCGCTGTACCCCCTGGCACCCAGCAGCCCGGCTATGGCCGCCTGCGCCCCGCTGCCCTGCAGCGCCCCTCTCACCACCTCGCACTCTGTCAGAGCCCCTGGCATTAGCGCAACATCAAGCAGAAGCGCAGCAGCACTTCCGCATTGCCAGCCCTGGCCAGTGTCACTGGCCTGGGCTGCCTTACTTCCTTTATGGAAGTGGCAGCGTGCTGGATGCTGTGTCTGGCCTGGCTGGAAGCTTCCAGTAGCTTCCGGTTGGGCCTCAGACCCTGTGCCCAGGCCCGAGACTTACAGTTGAGGGCCTGGGCCCTTTTCAGTTGGGCACGGTCTGGCTGTTTGCTGTATCTGCGCAGGGGCCTCAGATAGATGCGTCGGCAGTACTGCTTTTCCCAATGCCGACGGCCTGCTTCTCAATGTATCGGCCCTGCTTTGTGTGTATATGCCCAGGCACAACTTTCGAGGNACGGCCTGCTTCTCAATGTATCGGCCCTGCTTTGTGTGTATATGCCCAGGCACAACTTTCGAGGGCTGGGCCAACTGTACGACGCAGCTTAGTGAGGCTCGCGCGTTCACTCAACCAACTGACGCGTTGTAAGAGCCTGAATACCCACACATGGAAATGTCGAATTTTGGCCTGTGACGAATATTCAGGCCCGCCTTCACTTAGGGCGGGCACTTGGCTTGCTGGGGCCTTAGCCCAGAACATGCAATGTCTGATAGGGCCCCTTGAGGGCTCATTCCTCACATTATGCAACCCACACACCGACTGGCCTCATGTGCCATTCTAGAGTGGTCTGCCCCGGCGGTCACTGCTTAGAACCCTGTTAGAGATCCACCGCCCATTTCCACCCTCTCTTCTCTGGAATCAGACTCGCTTTTCAAACACACTTTTCATGCATGTAAACAGCAACGCAGCATACTGGCGACATGCGCCCACTCAAAACTCAGAGATATGGCTTTCAGATACGAGTTCACTCTCAATTGGCTATGGCGACTTCAGCGCCCAAACATCTCACTGTTCACATACACTGGATCACCCTGGATATCC